TCATATTTTGTTGTCTTCTCTATATCTCCTTCAGCTTCCTCAAGTGGGGGAGCATGTAGCAGGAGCTCCTTTTTTTCATTTCATTTTTGGAGTCCTGCCTCCCAGTAACTTCCCAGATACAGTCCTAACCAGTTGATCTCTAGGGTAGATCTACACTGCAAGGGTAGATCAATGTAAGCTACGCAATTTAAGTTATGCTGATAGTATAACTCAGATTGATGCAGTTTAGCTTACCATGGGGGTTCACACTACAAGAGGCTGACACAAAAAAAAAAACTCTCCTGTCATCTCCCCTTACTCATCTCATTCTGCTGGAATACCAGAGTCAACAGGAGAATGATTGGTGGTCGATTTAGTGGGTCTTTACTAGACTTGCTAAATTCACTGCTGATGGAATGCTCACTGCAGTGTTGATCCACCTCACAATGGAAAGCAGCCCAAAGTGAAGAGATGCTGTTAGACATTTGGAATTTCAAAGGTTTCTTCTGATTTTTCTTTAATTATTTCACTAAGTCATAAGCAAAGGAGTAGTGAGACACAAAGTGGATACGTTCAGTGTGGGATAGCAATGAGACGTGATCATTTCAGGCCCCCAGCAGTGAGAGAAAAAAAGGAAAGCTGAAAAGGGATAATTTTCTTAAAAGCCATGCAAAAATTTGGGTACCAAGATGACACATGCTAATTAAACATTGTATGTTGTATCCCTTCTTTCCCACCTAAATACATTTTTGTATACTTAAATTGGCAGCTATTCAGGGCATCTTGTTCTTTAGAGAGACATATAGTATTTTATATAGTCCTCAAAGGTGTGCTTATATTAGCTTGGTTTAAATGATTTATCTATATATTTTGGAAATGTGCATACGTGTCTATGAATCTGTTCAAGAACTCCTCTTAAATGGTAAGAGCTAGGATCTTCAAATATGCTTTGTAGATTCCTCTTCTCCTAACTTAAAGCAAGGTCAGGGTTTGGTTGTGCCAGGAAAACAAGATCTGCCTAGAATAAGATTGTTTTCCATAACATGGAAACTGGGGGGGGGGGAGAGAGGGCTAATAGGAGGGACAGCAATACTGCAGAGTAACCATCGGGGAGAGCTATACTGCAGTGTGACCACTTGGGGCAGCCGCACCACCAAGAGAGTGTCCAGTTGGGGCTAGGACTTGCCATCTTGCGAGCCACTAGACCTGGAAAATAGCCACTCTTCCCCAACCTCCTCCCCTTGGCTGCAGAGTTGCAGGGGAGGGGGAAGAGAGAAGAAACTTCCAGACATGGGGGGAGGAGAGGGAAAGAAGGTAGTCCTGCTGGACAGGGGTGGGGCGAGAAAGAAGGTAATCCTGCCATCCTCCAGAGGAGCCATAGCCGGTCCCCCAGCACCGCCAAGCTGCCCAGTATGACCGTCCTGTCCAGCCTATGCCCCCCCCCCTTGCACACCTGAGCCCAACCTGGGGACTGCAAATGGGGCCAGCCTGTGCCATGTGGACTAGGATGGGGGAGTGCCAGTGGGGCTGGCCTATGTGCCTCCTTGGGTCTCCCCCATCCCTGCCCACATGGCCTCCCACACTCCAGCTCACCTGGTCCCCTGGGGACAAGCTGGTGGACAGGATGCACACACACACACAAACACACCACCCCTGGACGGCCCTGGGAGAAGCTAGTGGGCAGAGTGTGTAGTCTCTGCTGTCCCAGACTGCCCACAGGGAGAAGCCAGTGGCTACCTCCATACGCTGCCTTGACCATCCCTCCCCGCCCCCCGCACCCCTCCTCTTCTTAATTCCATTCCTTGATTCCTGCATCCCCACCTGCTGCCCTGAGCCCTTCCTCATCCTTACCCTGACTCTGACAACTCCTCCTCTTACCCTGACCACCTCCTCAGCTACTCTGACAACTCCTCCTCTTACCCTGACCTTCTCCTCAGCTCCCCATCCTGACTCCTGCACCCCCACACTCCTAGCCTTCTGCTCTGAGTCCCCCACATCCCACTCTGACTCCTGCATACACACACCCTACCCCTCCAACTCCATTTCCTGAAGGACCCAGCAATGCTGGTAAGTCTTCCTGTAAACTTATAAAGGTGATTAACTCTCCTCTAAACAAATATAGAAATACTAATAAAATTTACCTGAAAGAACTGGAGATGGCGAGTCCAGACAAAGCATGCTGTACTCTGGTACCTCTACATAACTTTGTGAAGCTAGCAAAATAATTCTTTCACAATTTATGCTAATCTTAAGTCTCCCCCCCCACCCGAGAATCCAGACTCTTAGCAGTTCCAACGCCAGTCTGCTTTCTGCTCCTATTCTCATTTTTCACAAGAAAATTAAGAAAAAGTTCTATATTATATGCCTCTTCACTTATCTTGATACTGTATATCTCCATCTTGGACTTCTAGATATTCGTTTTAGTAATGTACATGCTGCTGTTATTGATGGATACATGGAGTTACTAGCTTCCTTTTGACTGCATAGCTTTGCAAAATGGATCTACTTCTTCGGGATTTTCTATCTAAGGATTGTGCCACTCAAAACAGAGTGATTAATATTATACTGTATGATATAACGGCAAATTTAGCATTTCCTAATTTGATTGGCAGAATTAAGAGCCAACTCTAATTGTCTCTAGATGTAGTGTAATTCAGTAAAATTTGTTTCCTATTTGCCTGGCTCTTTGTATGCATGGCAAAACACCCATTGACTTCAGTGGGATCAGAATATCATCCTATAGTAATTGTCATTATTTTAAAGTAAGTATAAGGTGACAGAATGAGAACCTGGAAGACTGAATTCTACTGTTTATCAACAGAACAGATACAGCCCTGGCACAGGGAGAATGTTGCCTCACCTTAGATTAGAAGGCCATGTTCTTTCAATTACTACCATTTCTGCTGAGACTGTCCAAAAGGGTCCCAATTAGCCTCTACTATCACTAACAGTGATGGTTCCTATGGTGTTGCTTAAGCATCTGGAGCAAGATCATCAACTTATTTTGCATAGGACACTTAACATCTACCAGACAGCAACAACTTGCTGTTACGGCTGACCTGGTTTAAATTTGAACCAATGATCAAGAGGTGAAAGGCTTCAAAATAGCCAGTCAAGTATAGCAATTTTAAAAATAAAAATCTACAAAAAATGACGAGACACAGAGTTTGGAAAGAGCGAGAAATGTAGTACAGCAGACTTTCACTCTAGTTTAGGCCACAAGGGCACTCAGTGTTAAAAGCTAAATTAAGAACTTTGTGTAGATTTAACCTTATCATTAGACACATACTTTAGCATAATTTTGCCACAAGCAGCCATTGCTTTGCATCTTGGTAATGGGGTAGTGACAGTGCTGTAGACTATACTTGAGATGAATAGACAGCTTGGCACAGATTGTTCCCCTCACTCTTCTAGACCTAATGTAGATTATAAAAGCTTCTCACTTTCATGAGAACTGAAATTCCCCAAAAGTTGGGTATAATTGCAGACTAATTCCAGTTCGCCAACATTTATTTATGCATGCAATTATCTTCTCAGAAATCAGCAAAAGTGTATTAATAGTAGCACGAGAATTTGAAGGCAAACCTCCGAAGCAGAAACTGAACTTCAGCTTATTTTAACTTGCCTGTCGCACTGCCGGCAGTTATCCTGTTACAGAAATACTACAATACATCAACATAATAAATGTAGTGTACTAGAAGGCACTAAGTTAGTTTGGCAAATTTGGATCTCAGCAATTCAGACAAATCTTTCTAAAATCAATTTTGTTTTACAATATTAAACATACATTTATCTAAAAGAAATACAGCAAACTATGCTGCTTTGGTTTGATAGAAGCTGCTTTAGGTTGGCTGTTCTTTAAATTTATCACTCTGTTGAGTGCACCTTAGTTTTGCTGTACTGTACCAAACATTTATCTAAATGAAAGTGTATGAAACCCAAAGTTGCCCTTCAATCACTGTATCCTTTATGAATTAGAGTTCCATTTATCAAAATTACAGCAAGAAGAGGTAAGGTCTCCGAGGGCTGTCTCATTACAAGGCTTGTAAACACTGTCCTTACAAAGAAATGGTTTAACACCTAACAAATCAAAAACTGATTGGGAATAGAATTTATTTGAGATCATCTATCTTCAGAAGACTTGCCGTCTTGAGAGCACTTCTTGGCCTTTCTACCCATTCATCAAGAAATTAACAAGCAAATACCACAGACCACCAGATCTCGTTGGATCCTGAAATGTGAAATATGTTTAAAACAGATCTGTCACAGATGTTCTATTTTTATAATCGAGTGATGACTTCAAAAGGCCTTACAAATAAGAGAGTATTCAAACTAGGAGTAAGGAGGAAAACAGATTATCTCTAAAAACCGATAAACTGAATAAATTACTTGTCATGAAATTATGTTTTGTACTATTAACAAAGATATAAAAAAGCGAAAATTAAATGGATAGCATATAGTATAGCTCAGCATTTTAGTAAGAATTCTAAGTATCTTTATCGTAACTTTTTTCAAGCCACAACAAAATTACTATGTAAAGAAACTAATTATAATATTCTCTTATAATAAGACAATTCTCAGGAGATAATTTGTGTTCTAAAGATACTATTTGAATGATTAGGTAGCTAGAATGAAGATGCTTTATATATTAAAGTAATTTTAATGAGGTTCCATTAGAAAATAAATAACAAAAATGAATAAAAGCAAATGTTAAGTATGGCAATTTTTAAAATATATGGATGCCCAGAATTGAAGTCAACAAAAGTTATGGTTGCTCAAAACC